AACAGGGGTTCAAACTCATCTATCAATTAGCAGGCTTAAATCCAAGAAGCCCTCTCTGGCACTCGCTCAACACCTGTCTTAAGAATTTTGACGTCAACACACAATGGAAAGCCGAATGGGCTGCTGAACATCCAGATACAGTCAGTTACATAGATAGCAATAGCAATAGCAGTAGACTTATATACCGCTTCATAGGCCTTTCAGGCCTCTCTAAGCGGTTTACAGAGAGTCAGCATATTGCCCCCAACAATCTGGGTCCTCATTTTACCCACCTCGGAAGGATGGAAGGCTGAGTCAACCCTGAGCCGGTGAGATTTGAACCGCTGACCTGCTGATCTAGCAGTAGCCTGCAGTGCTGCATTTAACCACTGCGCCACCTTGGCTCTAGATGATGCTACACGAAAGGTGCCAGGTTTTGATCTTCCTCTACAGCATTGGTCAATTCTGAACAGGATCCGTACCCAACATGGTGTCTGCCAGGACTCATTGTTTAAGTGGGGTCTTGTCTCTACCCCTCTACCTCTCAGTGTGACTGTGGTGCTCCTCAACAAAATATCCACCACATTATGTCCACATGTCCATCAAGAGCTTACACCAGCCCAATGTCTGATTTTTTTCAACATAGACCACCCTGTCCTTGAATGGCTGGGTGGACTGGACATTAACATTTGAACTACTATAAGTCCATATATTTGCCATATGCTAAATAGATAAAAGAGTTCAAACTGGCGTTTCACATGAAGGCTATGCCCACCTTACCTCCACGAAGGGGAAAAAAACATCACGATACGTCACGTGACGTGGCAAGGTTGACACCCGTGTTAGAACTAATCCATTCTCACAATATACACAATATACACAATAGCAGAGTTGGAAGGGACCTTGGAGGTCTTCTAGTCCAACCCCCTGCCTAGGCAGGAAACCCTATACCGTTTCAGACAAATGGCTATCCAACATCTTCTTAAAGACTTCCAGTGTTGGGGCATTCACAACTTCTGGAGGCAAGTTGTTCCACTGATTAATTGTATTAACTGTCAGTTTCCTGGATCTGTTTTTTTCCCTCTTTTTTGAAGATGGGAACCACATCAGCTCTTTTCCAGTCCTCTGATAGTTCCCTGGTGCTCCAGAATCTCTGAAAGATACAGTTCAGTGCTTCTGAGATTCTCCCCACCATCCAGTCAGAACTGATGAAGCTTCTTGGATGAGAAGTGAAATGTCCTCTTGCTCAAGGAAAGAACATTGTCCAGTTGCCTTTTGAAAAAGGACGAGACTTGAAGTTTTTGCTTGAAATTAAAATTGCTTGAAATCTGAGTCTCAAGTCTAATAACCAATTATAGACTATCCTCCGTGAATTTATCCAACCCCCTTTTAAAACCATTAAAATTAGCAGCACTAATTATCACATCTTCTACTGTTTTATTCTACAGGTTTATTACATGCTGTAATTATACATATATTTTTCTGATCAATTTCATTGGTTGATTTGAGGAGAGATAAAATTCTATCCCCACCTTCAGTTTTTTAAAACTTTCAAATCGCTTATATTGCAATAAGTAAAATATTTTAAATGTGTGATGTTCACAAAATGATGTACTTTACCAAGAAGCACAAGTTATACAATTAAACAATGTACTATTGACAAGTATCATCAAAAATGTTTTAAAAAACAGCACTCAATTTTGTATTATGGAAGAATTATTCAAGCACAAGCATTAAAAATGCAGTGACATAATTTATTCAGAAATTTTGTGGATGTGAGAGAATCTGTTACACACGGGGGAGCCAAAGTATTCTTTTGACTAATGCAAAGAATGACTTTATACAGCACATCACCAAATCAATAATACAGCATGTCAGTAATCTTAGAAGAATATGAAAAACAATTACAAAAACAATGTATTTTCTTTGTGTACTCGTTTCCACTTCTGTAGGTTTATTTTCTTTTAGATTTAAGCCATGTGAATTTACTGACCAAGGCCACTAAGTTGTGTACTGCATTCAAACACTCTATAGAATAGAAAGATGAATTGTTGCAGGCAGCTGCTTGAAGATTTCATTTCTTAATAATCCTTCAGTAAACAAAAATGATATTGATGTCCTGTAGGTATAGAGGATAGGTTGACCTAATACAGAAGTATTTATGAGTCTCTTGTTAATAACTATACTGTGTATGAAAACACTAGGTTTCACCCCCAGGTCTTTCAAAATAAGACACCAACCCTAATGGATGACACAAGTAACCCAAGACACTTTCATTTTAAAGTGTTTTAATAGAAACACTGGATAAAAAACCTGGATGTACCATAAAGAGAGTATGCCTTTCTTAGGGGAAAAATTCTGTCATTGAAAGTAAACATAAGAAAAAAAGCCAGTAGGAGGAGAGATGTGGTGTTAGTAAAGAATATGCTCTATTTTCCAGCAGTACATTGCTGATTTTGTTAGGTTTCAGTTATCTCAAAAAGATTTACAGAATGGATCAGTTTCTGCCTAATTACAGTGTTAGACCAAAAACCTTAATTCAGGAAATGGAGTGATTTCTAACACAATCCCAACAGAACTGAGCCACTTGATCATGTTTCCTAAAATAGTTAGTGCGTTGAAAGAAACCATCGTAGATTCAGGAGAGATTATGATTTGCCTTTAGTTAGAGATTAGGATTCCAATGCCTGAAATATAAAATAAAACCAGATATAAAAATCCTATGACTCTATGAATAAGTAGAATTATGATGATACACATCAGCAAACTTGAATGGAAGAAATCATGTTATCTCTTACAGATGTAGTGTACCATTTTTAATTTATACTCATTTACATAATTGATTTGTTTGCCCTATTTAATCTTCAGTTATATATTGAACCAAGTATTGGTTTACATATCAAAGCAAGAAAACTTGATTAGAAGTGAGCTTGTATAGAAATTGGTAACTTGTGATTTTGCAGTGTAAGGCAGTACAGAAAATCTATTCAAATATATCTTCAACTTCCTATAGTTCAATTGGCTAATGTTTTTCACTGAACTTCCCAATAAAACTTGATTTTGCCCACCAATGCATTATTTTTTTAGTCTGTTTCAAGATGTCTGACATATCTCTAAAATGAAATTATTTCCATGAGAAAATGATCATTTTCTTTAAAGCAGTCTTACTGCAAATAGGTGCTAGATTGGCAGTTTCCCTTGATTTAGCATGTGTTCTAAGCCTAAAAGTATGGTATGTACTTCTGCACAAGAATCAAGGGGAGCTTTTCTCTTTTTTGGTTTTATTGTATTATTATAAAACAGAATTAATATATTATATTGAGTACGGTATTTATACAATATTGATTAGAGATTATTAACACCAATACTTAGAAAACAAACTTTTAAAAATGAATGAAAAGCTTATATCAAAATTAATGATTTCTAAAATGTCAATGTCGAGGAACAACTATTGAGCAGTATTAATGTCATCACAACCGCATATCTCCCCTATGAATTAGGCATACGTACAAAGTACCCACCTAATTTAGTTGGAATAGAATAGGCTTTATTGGCCAAGTGTGATTAGACACACAAGGAATTTGTTTCCGGTGCGTATCTTATCAATCTGTCTAATTTATTAGCCGCCCAATTTGCCACATGGTAACTCTGGTGTATTTAAACTTGATGTATTTAAATTATTCTGAAAATTCAGAATCAATTTAATTACTATTCAGTTATTTAAAAAAATTGTAGAAGCTAAATACTACACAATAATACCAAATGCTCCTATTTTCAGATTCCAGAAAGTATAGAAAAATTAAGATTGCATGAAAAGATTTCTGTTCATGTGACATAACTTTCCACTAAGGTCCCTTGTGTATTTTATCAGATGATATGAAAGCGTCTATAGCCAGAAAGTCCTCCATAGATCAAGCAATTGTTAGGCTAAAAAGATATTGTTAAGTAAAAATTGAAGTTGTTAAAAATTCTGACAATTTTGCAGCCACTTCACTTTCCCATCTACTTCAAAATCTGAGTATCTTAATAATTTAGATGTATTGTTTCTGTATCCTTTTTGTGGGTACTTCTACATGTTTATTACAAGGCTTGCTATAAGATTAGATTGGGGGCATATGTAGTCTAATGTTGATAATTATTTTGTAAATTTCAAATTATTATGTTACATGTGCTAATTTTTAAAAGTAACCTTTAATGGTAAAATATATTTGAAACAAAAAAAAATTGCTATGCATCTGTCCATCCATCCTTCAAAACTGAATGTTCCTTAGGACTGAAATAGTTTGATTTATTCATGTAATTAAAAAATATTAAAACGTGTGATAATATTTTTGGAAACAAGTAAAGTATTAAAAGTCCAGTCTAGTCAAGGTTTGAAAATGCATTACTTCCTCATATGTACCTCATGAGTGAAACTAAATATTCATTTTTTAAAAATAATGTTTCTGTTGGTGAAATATTTGCCATTATGCAGAAGGTGTATGACACATCACTGGAGAGACACAGAGAAAAAAAAAATTAACTAAAATAACTCCACTTAGTGTTTAAAAGAGCAATGTAATGAAATCTGTTTGCTGTGCTAGCTGTCTCCAGATTGGGCTGTAATTACACCACACAAGGAAGAAAGGTAGCTGAGTCTCAATCTGGATCATTTATGTAAACTCAGCCTTCTTGTCAACGATGTTCTCAGATTGCAAGCATGCAAACCACAAAAATCATCTCCTATGAACAAAATAGAGACAGTGTCTGATTGCAGGCTTCTGATATACCATGTATTCTCTCTGTAATTGGACTTTAACGTTTGACACAGTAAGGTTAAAACACTTCTTATACATCCATTCAGGGAATGAAATCCTGTACGGAGGGAAGAGAGGAAGAACTATCACTTAATCCTTTATGATAGGAAATTGAAGCAGAAATTGATTTAACATTTGTCAAAAATGAAAACAGAGAAAATTTTTTGGGTAAATGTAGGAAAATACAGTATTTGTTTTTGGACAATATAAAAAAAGCAAACACGATTTAAAGCTCCATTTTTTTAATCAGAATTACACAAACAGAACAGAATTTCACAAACAATTCAACATCACAGTAAACGCTTTCCATACTTACACCGCTCTTTCAGTAACCTGTTTAAACATGAATAGTTACAAGATTATTTTATATTTCAGGGCACACAGAAAGTGCTACAGAAACATTTGAAGTAGTTTGACTAAAAAAAAATCTGTTACTTTCTGCCAATTCATCAAGCTGCTTTTTTGTGTTGATACATTGCTACATTAATTCTACTTTTAAGCACTCCGCTTAAAAACGTGCTTAAAAACCACTGCTCCCAACACCTGCAGCCTCATGGCCCCCTCTGTCTTCTCTTCTGCAGGAAAACCACAGGCCACCATGCTGGCGCCATCCCTGACTATGTCCAATCAATAAGGACTTATTTCCTGTCCATTTGCTGAGGTCACAGAAGCTTGTGTCATTAATTATTTCTACCAGTGCAGCCTCAAGTGTGCTTCTGGCATGACAACTGAAAACTGTTTGACCTTTTTTTCCCTAATTTTGTTTGCAGCAGTTCCGAAGGAGACGTGTTCATTAGGGAATGTAGTGAATGGTACAGAAATACTTTTTTTTTTTTAAAAAAAAGCCACAAATGCATTTGGACTAGCAATGACAGATCTGACTTTTGCAATCACCTGTTCTGTTCGGCTTGTTTCCGCAAATGAACAGCAGTTTCTCCCTCCCAATTCTACGTTATGAAAATCTTGTCACAGCATAAACAATGTTTTCTAAGGCAGATCTGGCCTCAGAGGGAGGGAAAGATTCTAGAGCTTCCAGTGCGCTGTTTCCATGGCAACGACATAGGTCAATAGCTGAAGTCACACCTTTGCTAGCCTTGATTGCATCTTGCAACTGTGAGAAAACACATGCAGAGTATTACCAGCTTGGACAGAAATAACTCTATGCAGAATATTTAAGAAAACATTATGGATTTTGTAGTTTCATGAACTGAATTTCAAAGGCATATTTAACTATATTACTTAAATTATATTGGTATCTTCAAATCAATGAAACAGTTTAATTGATTTAAATTAGTCCATCATTTACAGATAAGTACAGATATTAAGCCATTTTATTACAGTTACAACATAACTACCATAAAAAGCTTTCAAATATTCATCTGTGTGATGTGTAATTAACTAGAAAGGATGAAACAAAGCACTCTGTATTTAATGAACACATGAATATACATTTTGAATTAAATTTCACTACTAGCAAGTACATTACTATACTATAATTTTCATGTTGCGCATTCCAATACAATGTGTATTGTGCTATTTACACATTTTTCAATTTAAATTGGATAGAGATTTCAGAATACATTTTCCAAGATGGTAACAATGATCTCTGGAGTACATTTTTTTTCTGCACCGAGACCTAAATAAGATTAATCAAGAACCAGAAATAATGTACATACACTTCAGTTCTTGCGAATATTCCACCAACCTGCAATCATGCAGGTCTTTGTGCTGATCTTGCATTGTGCAAATTTTTTTGAAACTTTGATTGGTAAAAGTATTTCATTATGAACAATTAAACAATCCTGCAGGATAGAACAATCTTGTGGAACCTTAGAGTTTAAATATACAGTATGGCACAAGTTTTCTGATTCCTAAATTGTAATATTTGAAAACTTTTGCCATAATAAATAACTTAATATTTATAATGCCAAAACACTGGCATTTTCACAGCAAAAGTATAATACACCTATTTCTCTGGGGGGAAAAAAATCTAAAAACTAAAATGATATTAAAAAGTCAAAACAATAATTAACAGTTTCTTCTTGGATTTAAGGATACATCTAGATGTTTCAGACCATATCTGTCACTTTAGTCAAAACTCAAAATATTTGAGAGCTGTAGTTTGAAACATAAGATGGTACCAGCTTGCCTACCCTAAGTTAATACTCTTGGATTATAAATTCAGCTAGAAAATATGAAGCATATGTTTAATAATGTAGCTGGATTAAATGGTATTTGAAGTGTTGGAATTTGCAAACGCTTCTGTTTCTGCAAAAGAGAAAAGGGAACCCTCATCCTGAATGGAAAAAACATTGCTTTCCTACTAACATTTCAACTTCATAAGAAACACAAACAAAAAGCCTTTTCTATCATTGATTTTTTTTAAAAAAATATAATTTTATTAAAATAATATTAAAGAATAAAAAACAATACAAATTTTGAAAGGGGAAAGGAAGTAACAAATAAAAAAGTGAAAAGAAATACAGCAAAGAGGGAAGGGAAGGGAAAGGAAGGAGAGGGAAGGGAAGGAAGAAAGGGCAAGAGGGAAAGGTTCCAGTCTTCTTAGCAGCAGTTGTAAGTACATTTATGTTTTATCCTCTCGCCATACAGTTACAAAATAGCCTTCTTCTTTCCATTGTTTACCCTCTCTAATTATTAAACCCACAAATCACAAGTTGTTTTTTTCTTCCTTCAGCAAAAAAGTCCAATTGCTAATAAATGTTAATTATTGCCTTTCTCTAGTCAAATCAATTTTGCCATCTCTGCTAATTCTGTTATCTTTGCCAACCATTCCTCCATCGTGGGTATTTCAGAGCATTTCCATTTTTGTGCATATAATAATCTCACAGACGTTATCTATCATACCCAAGGACAGTCTTCCACAACTCTTTCCTTATTGACTATCCATTAGTACCAACAAGGGCAGTTCTGGTTTCAACTGAACATTAATTTTCAAAATTCTTTATATCATTCTATCTAGCTGAACCCCAAATTTTATGACTTTTTTGCAAATCCACCAAGCATGATAAAATGACCCTTCATGTTCTCTACATTCCAACATAAATTTGAAGCACCTTTACACATTCTACGCACTTGTTCTAATACATCACTTTACAAAAGTTCTTTTGTATATTATAACATAATGTACATTTCAGTCTTTTCAGCAACATATTTTCGCATTGTTTTATCAGTATATTATATCCAAAGCCCATTTTATCACACTCTTTCACTTGTTCTTCTTCTGTTTCAAAGTTCAACAGATGTATACATTTTAGCAGCTACACGTTCATTTGCACATTGTTCAGTTTCAAATTATGCGTTGTGCTGTTCAATTCCAAATGTTATCTACTTAAAATATTTCTCTTAACTGTGCATAGCAAAACCACTGAAAACGAAATCCCTCTACAGCCAATTGATCTCTTGATTTCATTTTATATCCTCCATCCTTCATGGACATCTGATTGTGAAACTGTCCTAACAGAGGTAAAAAAATAGCACTTGATCAACCCTTTTTATTTTTGCCTTTTATTTTAAGCTCTGTTCTACTGAATTTTAAGCTCTGTTCCACTGAAGTTTTATTACCTTTCAATTTTACTATTATTATTTATATGCTTAATTTTGGGACATTTTTCTCTGCTCTAATTCTCTGAGAAAAGGCAGTTTAAAATACCAACATTAAAGAAATGAAGATGTAATAGAGAGGATATTTATATTGTACTTTATTCCAACAATCTTAAATCAATCTCCATGATTCTATCATCCATCCATCCATCCATCCATCCACCCGCCTCTCTCTTTCTGTCTTTCTCATTCAGAAACCACCCATCTCCCTCACAAAGCGACTCCCAACAATCTGTAATGATGTTTACAACTGAGATAGTGTGACTTTCCAGGACCTCTGCTAGTCACTATGTTTCCTTCTTTCTTGTTGAAGCTTTTGCCATAGAAGGGTATTCTTTCTAAGTTTGTTTATACATAGTTAACATGAAGGGACAATTGGTATAAGCTACAAGGAAAAGATGCCTTATTCCGTTTATTTAAACTATGTCCAACTTGACCACCATTTCAAACCTTATAATATGAAAAAAACAATTTATCATCCTGCCATGGGCATTTTACTATTTGACACACATATCAACTTATTTCTTTTAAAGTGAGTAAAGCCAGCCATATTAGCAATAGCAATAGCAGTTAGACTTTTATACCGCTTCATAGGGCTTTCATCCCTCTCTAAGCGGTTTACAGAGTCAGCATATTGCCCCCACAGTCTGGGTCCTTGTTTCACCCACCTCGGAAGGATGGAAGGCTGAGTCAACCTTGAGCCGGTGAGATTTGAACTGCTGAACTGCAGATAACAGTCAGCTGAAGTGGCCTGCAGTACTGCACCCTAACCACTGTGCCACCTCGGCTCTTCAATACTCATATTCTTGTATGATAATACATATTCAAGTAAGAAATGGATAGTTAACACCACAAATGTGTTTGTACTTTCAGCTATGAGCAGGCAACTCGTACTTTAAAAGAAGCAGTTGAAATAGGAGGGCATTTATCTCAAATGGAGCTAACAACAGGATTGAAAAATCACTTTTAAGGAGGTGGTCATGTTCAGATAGAAAGGTTAGGGCCAGCCACAGATCCTGTAATTTAATGTACCTTAGAAACCTGAGATGTTCCATAATTGCTTTCTCCAAGTGTCCTTGAATTGAGATACAATGTGCTTTTATCTATTTATTTATATCATGTCTAATTTTTAAATAAACCAAAACTGCTGACCTAAGTCAATAGAGTACAATGAAAATTACCTCTACATTAAACTAAAAGCGGCAGTACACAGAAGTAAAACAATTACTATATTGCTTTCTAATAGCAAATGTCTATTCCTCAGAATTTTTTCCTACACAGGAATTACTTATATACTTTTTAAGCCTTAGCAGAAGTGAAGTTTAATAGAATAAGGTACACATTGATTTGAACTTGAAGTCTGGCTAATTCTTCATAACAAAACACTATTTTCTCTAAGGCCCTGATTCCCCGGTTTTAGGAGCCTTTCTCCCAGATTGTAGGGCCTTTTTGAAAAATTTTGTACAGTCCTTCAAGTTCTAACTTACATTTTAAAAAAAGCAGTGGTGTTTCATATACTCCTATGAAATCTATCAACTAATCAACAAGAGATAACCTGTGCCTCAGGTAATTTTAAACAATAATTAGTTTTCCCCCTAATACCATTTCTAGTTCTAGATATTTAGCCTATTCAAGAAGTGGCATTTTTAACTCTGGCAATGTACATTTCTACAAGTAAATATAAGCATTTAAGCTCCTTTACTAGAAAGGATTGTTGGTGGCACTGACGGTCTTAAAAACCGTGTGAGTTTTTAAAATTATTATTTAAGGTGAGAATACTGAAGGAAAATTCCACTTCGGTTCCAGCTAGATTGAACAAAATTATTCAAACATTTCACACCCAACATTGAGAAAAATCTGTTGATTCTGATTAGTTTCCTATATAGGAGAGACACTGACAGAGAGCTACAAAAGTCTGTCCAAGCTTTAAAAAGCAGGGAAAAGGAATAGTTCAAACCCAGCTACCCTTGTTTTGCAAGCTCATACTGAAAAAGTGCATTCTTTATTTGGAACTTCAACTTCTCACTGTCCCCACATCTGAATAAACACTGCATCTACCATGTCCAAGAAAGCAAATGTATGCAGCTACAACAGTCTCTCAAATATAAATAGAATCCAAGCCTATCCATCTTTAGAAAAAGAACAAAATCACAAAATAGTGAGGGTTTCCTGCTCTAATTGGTGACCCAACTCTCACTCACACCAACCATTCCCTGCTCTCTCTCGCTCTCATTTAGCTCTCATCCTTCTTTATTGGCTACTTACATGGCATCCTATATCAAACCTTGTAACTTGCTAAAGAGAAAAGAAAAGGAAAAAAAAGCAAACCTAAAATTGATTTGTGGTCAAGCAACTAACTAATCTATTAAGAGTTTGCCATGCTTTTCTAATTTTGTTTTTCTCTTGTGGAGAACCTTCTGCCTCACTAAGTGCTGATATTTCGTCTACCAAGCTGTTAGCCTGAAACAAGGCCAACACAATTTGTAGCTA